TACAACAACTACAAAATCCGATTATACCAACTACATTCTTAGTTCTTTTTACTACTTTTCGGTAGTCAATATAACTTTTTAAATTCAGTTGAGGACCTATTGAATCACGCAGAGTAGTTATAAAAGTAGTCAAACCTACTAGAAATTTTTTTCAGTGCATTTAAAGAATTTTATCAACAATTTTTTAAATGGGTAATTAAAATTCTTTTGACGAATTTCAATAAAATTTTTAAGAACAATTTCATTTTTCGAGAAATTAGATTAACCCTTTAACGCCCAGCGGTTTCGATCGAAACCACTTTTGATTTCTAAAATCTATAACTTTGACAAAAATTAAGATATTTTTGATTTCTAAAAGCTCACGACCTACAAATTTATAAACCTTTATGAAAAAAATTTACATTTTAAAAAATAATTAACAATTTTGTAATTACAACAATAATAAAAAAAAAATTTGTTGCAAAATTTGCAACAAAATTACAAATTCGAAAATAAAAGGAAACAAAGCTACTGAAAATTGTTACTCGGGGGTTTTCGGGGTCGCTGATTACGAATTTGATATCAGATTTTAAGAATTCAAAATGGCGGATCCAATATGGCGGACATCATTTTTAAAAACTGATGCAATTTGCCTGAAAATTGTTACTCGGGAGTTTTTGGGGTCGTTGATTACGAATTTGATGCCAGATTTTAAAAATTCAAAATGGCGGATCCAAATGGCGGATGTCATTGCTAAAAACTGATGTAATTTGCCTGAAAATTGTTACTCGGGGGTTTTCGGGGTCGCTGATTGCGAATTTCATATCAGATTTTAAAAATTCAAAATGGCGTATCCAATATGGCGGACATCTTTTATAAAAATTGATTCAATTTGCCTGAAAATTGTTACTTGGGGGTTTTCGGGGTCGCTGATTACGATTTTGATTTTAATTTTTTAAAATGTGAAATAGCGGTTTCAATTTATTGTACAAAATGTCCAAATATAAACGAGATCAGAATAAAATGTTTGTCTACCTTCGTGACAATGTGAAAAACAATTGCCTAACGCAAAACCGGTATCATAATGATTAATGAAATATTCATTTCTATATTCGTAATAATCAGAAAAACAAATGCCTAACGCAAAGACGAAATCAATCTAAAATGCTTGACTATATTTGTGAAAATCGGAAAATAAAAGCCTAACATGAGAACGCGATCCGAATAAAATATGAATCTATATTTGTGACAATGCGATAAACAAATGCCTAATGAGAAAACGATGTCAAAATTAAATGTTCGTTTACATTCGTGACTATAGAAAAACAATTGCCTAACATTGACTCTAACATTGGATTAGTAAACAGCGGCCCTGAAAACCCCCTACTAACAATTTTTAGGCAAATTGAATCAATTATTAGAAAAGATGTCCGCCATATTGGATCCGCCATTTTGAATTTTTAAAATCTGATATGAAATTCGCAATCAGCGACCCCGAAAACCCCCGAGTAACAATTTTCAGGCAAATTACATCAGTTTTTAGCAATGACATCCGCCATTTGGATCCGCCATTTTGAATTTTTAAAATCTGGCATCAAATTCGTAATCAACGACCCCAAAAACTCCCGAGTAACAATTTTCAGGCAAATTGCATCAGTTTTTAAAAATGATGTCCGCCATATTGGATCCGCCATATTGAATTTTTTTAAAATTTGACCTCAAATTCGTATTCAGCGACCCCGAAAACCCCCGAGTAACAATTTATTGGATCTAGGTGAAAAGAATAGCGTGGGGGTTTTAAATTTATAATATCTTGATGTGAAATTCGCATTAAATTTTTAGTTTAGGTATCATTAGCTTTTCATTTTTTATTTAAATACATACATAGAAATTTACATACAACTTTGGTTTTTCTAGTTATATCTTTCAATTTCTCTTTAAATTAATTACATTACATTAAAGTTATTATTTAGTACCTTAAATTAAAATGTATAACGAACATATAGATATAGTTTGTTTTTAATTAAATTTCTGGAAAGCATTGAGAATTTCTCCTTCAAACTTACTCTGATACAGTTGCTCACTTGTAAATTTGGTAAGCATTCTTGCCGTAGGCTTGAAATTTGCACACGTATTTGGCAACAAGAAACGAACTCTCATTATTGCATCCGCGGTTTTGATGCTTATCTTATTCTCAATTTATTTTTTATTATATTAACAATTGAGAAACCGACAGATTGGCTCAGTCGGATAGATGCCTGGCGTTGGTGGTCGTTTAAGGACCAAGGGTATAAGTACCCTTGGTTCGCGCCCATTTGGCTTGGTATTTTTCCGGCACGTGAGATAATTTGAGCGGGAGGTTTGACGTCGGGGTTTAATGATGTGCACCGTCGATTATTGTCCGGTACACACCATTAGAACTCGACTGTCGATAAACCGGTTGTACTCAGGAGAGGTTTTCTACAGTTTCCCTCTCCACTGGCGAGAAAACTCATTAGACGGGTGGTCCAGGCGTAATGCGAGTACTCCTAATAAAGTCGGCTGTAGACGCAAATTAGGTTAATATATAGAAAATTTCTAAGTAGAATGGTTATGCTTAATCCAAAAAAAGTATTTCTCGGGGACTCTTGTCGAAGTGCGTAAGGCCAATAGGGCAGGAGTATAAACAATAAAAAAAACAATTGAGAAAGCTCTCTCGACTGAAGCATTAGAAAATGGAAGACTTAAGAGCCCACGCGCCAATGCTGAGATATGTTTGAACCTACACATTTCTCCAGCATTTTTATCTTCGTTAACCTTAGTCCAATATTCATTTGATGAACATTTTTCTATTTCTAGACGATGTAACAAGTTCCATTCTTTGACAGTTTCGTCAACATCTGAACAAATAGCTTGAAAAAAAATGGTCAACAGTCTTTATACTGCAGTGTTCGGCTATGAAAGCAGCTATTTTTAATTCCGCTATTTTTCTTCTGACGTCAATACCTTGGACATAAGTTAAAATTTTGGGCGTACTTTGAAAAATTTTATCCTGTTTTAAATTGTCAATGTGCTTATTTGTTTTTGCATGGCCTTCAAGACCGTTTCTGTGGGCTGCAAAATCAGCACGACAAATGGCACAGTACGCTCTTGTATTATTATATTATATTATATATTATATTATTATATTATATTATTATATTATATTATATTATATTATTATTATATTATATATATTATTATATATATTATTATATTATATTATATTATATTATTATATTATATCTTATATTATTGCCCGGAACTGGCCTTAACCAATCTACAAAAAAACATTTTATTTCTAAATTTATTCACATTTGATACATATAACTTCTACAAAACAATAATATCAACATCGACATTATAAAAAATAAATATAAAAGAGTTTGTAGGCTAGCAAAGTAAATAACAATATAGCAAATATATAACCTTTGAACTGATTTTCAGTTTCCCAACTTATTTTATATTTCTGTACATATTTCCCTTTAGATTGCACAGGAGGCTCAAATTCCATGATAAAAGAACAGGAATGGTAAGTATATGCACACAAGGAAACACTCTGATGCACCCAATCACTTAGCAGAAAATAACCACAGCCAAATTCAGAATGACAAAACTAGACTGTGACAGAGCAAAATAAAAACACGTCCGAACACCACAATGGTTCAAGTAGGACTCCCATATGATTGATATAATATAAAGAATGTTATTATTGAATTTAAAAGGACATTGTTTTCCCAAATTTAAAGATCCCTTAACCCTTTGAGTCACAGTGGTCAATATATCGACCACCTTTTGAGGTGGATGAAAAACATATAAAAACCCATCAGCTTTGCTTGGAAATTGATATTCGGGGGGTTTTGGGGACGCTGGTTACAAATCCGATATTGGTTATCAAAAATTCAAAATAACGGATCATTAAATCCGCCATTTTGATCCGACATTTTTATCGTCATATTGATGGTAGACAACTTTTTCAAAAAAATGATCCAAATCACTTGAAAATTGTTACTCGGGGGTTTTTAAGGTCCCTGATTACGAATCCGATATTAGTTTTCAAAAATTCAAAATGGCGGATCCAATATGGCGGACAAGATTTTTAAAAAATGCTTGAATTTGCTTCAATATTGCTACTCGGGGGTTTTTGGGGACGCTGATTACGAATCTGCTATTAGTTTTCAAAAATTCAAAATGGCGGATCCAATATGGCGGACAACTTTTTTAAAAAATGATCCAAATCACTTGAAAATTGTTACTCGGGGGTTTTTGGGGCCGCTGATTACGAATCTGCTATTAGTTTTCAAAAATTCAAAATGGCGGATACAATATGGCGGACGACTTTTTCAAAAAATAATCCAAATCACTTGAAACTTGTTATTTTGGGGTTTTTGGGGTCGCTGATTACGAATCCGATATTAGTTTTTAAAAATTCAAAATGGCGGACAACTTTTTTAAAACATGATCCAAATCACTTGAAACTAGTTACTCGGGGGTTTTGGGGGTCGCTGATTACGAATCTGCTATTAGTTTTTAAAAATTCAAAATGGCGGATCCAATATGGCGGATGATTGTTTAAAAATATAACACCCTCCTCTTTTTTTACACGGGCTTGGGACCGTCGGTGGCAGAGTTTTTTTTTTTTTTGTTTTTTTTATTTTTTTTTTGTTTTTTCGAATTAATTTAAAATATTTTTTTTATTTTCTTTTTATTTTTTTTACTTTTTTTTTATTTTTACAATTTTTTATAAATTTTTTATACTGATTTTGATTACAGTTATCGTGCATGGTATTTCTGATAGCAATTGCGATCTTGTTTTATACATAAGGCAACTTCACATGTTGTACAAAAGAAAGATGATCGCCACGGATTATCTTTGGTGCTACAACACGCGCAACGTCGCTGAGAATCAAGTACAATTGGAATATGAGGTGCTTACGAAAATCGTCTCTCATTTGACCCTTGTTTCTTGAAATTAGACGTAGATATTGACATTCTTTTTTTACCCCGTTTATTTGAACTATAATATCCAATGAGTTGATCGACGAGTAGTAATCTGAAATGCTTTAGGGTCATTTGAGAATCAGTATTCCTCTGCTTGTAAATGATAAATGAATTTACTACAGTCACGTCTGCAAAATGCCAAAAAATTCTGTGCCACCATTTTTTACTCTTTCTATCTCGTTCATATACAGACTTTAGCATATCTGCCTTATCGACGCATCCCATAAAACAATTATAATCATGTGCTATTCGTGGAGCAGTTCTTTCAAGAATGGTTCCATCTTTTTGTTTCCTTTTGACATTCACAATTTCAGAGGGATCATGAAAATTTGACAAGAACTGTACATGCTTGTTGTCAAACCATTTTACCCATCCTATGCCTTTAAAAGATGACCGAAATTCACTTTCTCCTTTATTCATACTTTTATTAGTCTTTTGCATTTTCGGTAAATCCTTTCGGTTACTTCTTACAGTACCACAAGCTAGAATCCCATCTTGTTTTAGGGAAATCATTAGACTTAAGCTTGTAAAGTAGTTGTCGAAATATAAATGGTAAAACTTAAAAGCTAATTTACGGGATAAATCTCGAACAACTCTTTCACCTAATAATTTTTCTGGTCTTCCATTAATTTTGCCAGTATATATCTCAAATTGACAAACAAAGCCATTCAAATCAGCTCTCACCCATACTTTGTAACCTCTTTTTATAGGCTTTTGAGGGAGATACTGTTTCAGCGTACTTCTTCCTTTGAATTTAATCATACTTTCGTCGACAGCCTGTTCTTTTGTAGGATTATAAAACTTCAAAAAGTTTTCTGAAAGCTGATTTATCATAGGTGCAATTTTATATAACTTGTCGTAATTGGGATCCCCTTTTTTAGGCATTAAACTATTGTCATTTAAGTGCATTTTCGATAAAAGAAAGAAAAACCTATTTAGCGGCATAACTGAACTGATATAAGTGTCACGTAATTGTGAATTAGACGACCAATAATCCCGAATGCAAGGCAACTTTTTGATTCCCATCATAATATTGATAGCTAAAAAGCGTAACATCTCCTCTCTTGTCGTCGGTTCAAATGGTTTTTGGGATTGGCTGCAATATATGTTAGTTTGTTTCACAATTGTATCAATCAATGATTCTGAAAATAAGCAAAGAAAAATGTCTAACGGCGAAATGAAGTTATCTGGAAGATTTGGGCCACATTCTTCTGAAAACTGTGTATCATCATACTTTCTACTCTTCTTCTCCCAAATACCATCCAACTCAGTCATTCTTTTTTCAAGACATGTATCTTCTTCATCATCTGATGAAACAGAATTTACATTTGGTGAAGTCATGATGCTATCATCTAATTCATCGTCACCACCTTTACTTTCGTTATCGCTCTGAATAGAAAAAACCTCAGCGTCCTCTTCCATCCCATCATCTAATCCATACTCACCGTCTTCACTTTCGTTATCACTAGGGATAAAGACAATCTCAGCGTCCTCTTCCATTCGCAAATAATAAAATAACTTTAAATAATTTTCAAACAATATTGATGTAGCAATGTAAAGTAATGTAATGTAGTGTCAAAAATTTCTGCTAATAATAAAGTTATCCAAGTAAATTTAAAACTATGGTGTTGTTTCAATATAGTTCATTCTATAATGTTAAGTCAATACAAGTAACAAACAAAGCAACAACAATACGCAGTATGATGAAATAAACACCACACGTATTTCAAGAAACACACAAATTAAAAAAAAAAAGAACATCACCACACAGAGCGTTGCAATGAACACCACATACGTATTTCGAAAAACACACAAATCAAAAACAGAAGAACATCAATGCACTGTATGTTGTAATAAGTGTTACATATATGATAACATACAAATAAAAAACAAAAGAACATCAATGCACTGTATAATGTAATAAGTGCTACATGTATGATAACATACAAATCAAAAACAAAAGAACAACACTACACAGTGTGTTGCAATGCACGCTGCATTCACTGCATGATACATAAATTTACATTGATGTTGCTTTGTTTTTTAATACTAAACCTATTGCCATCAAGAGTAATAATGAAAATAAAGTGAAAAGTATGTATTAGATCATGTTATTTGTAAAATTCATGTAAATTCATCCGCCATATAGGATCCGACATTTTGATTTTTTGAAAACTAATAGCAGATTCGTAATCAGCGACCCCAAAAACCCCCGAGTAACTAGTTTCAAGTGATTTGGATCATTTTTTGAAAAAGTCGTCCGCCATATTGGATCCGTCATTTAAAATTTTTGAAAACTAACAGCAGATTCGTAATCAGCGACTCCAAAAACCCCAGAGTAACAAGTTTCAAGTAATTTGGATCATTTTTTGAAAAAAGTATCCGCCATATTGGATCCGCCATTTTGAATTTTTGAAAACTAATAGCAGATTCGTAATCAGCGACCCCAAAAACCTCCGAGTAACTAGTTTCAAGTTATTTGGATCATTTTTTGAAAAAGTCGTCCGCCATATTGGATCCGCCATTTTTAATTTTTGAAAACTAATATTAGATTCGATTCCCGTCCTTTTTCCCGATTCCTATTTCCCGACAAACGATTTCCCGACAAGCCTTCTTCCCGACAGATGATTTTCCCGAATCCTATTTCCCGACAACCATTTTCCCGAAAATACAAACCCCGACAATGAAATTTCTAAATAAATGTAAGAAGAACATGTTTTTATTTATAAATTCTGAAGTATAATATAAAAAAATCAATAAAAATCTCTGAAAATAAAAAGAATTGTAACAATGGAGTCAATCACAAATGTATATTATGTGCCAGTAATTTTAAATAATCGTGAACTGTTCCAGATGATTTGTAATCTTCGTATTGTAGCACAATTGACCGAAGGCGACTTTGCAGTTCGATCCATTTCTTCTTGGGGGCAGCTTTAACTGCTTTCCCCAGACCCAATTCGGCTATCATGCCTTCTGTATCAGCCTGTTCTTTCTGAAATTCTTGTAAGGCCGAATATAAGTCTGGGTGATGTTTTCCCATCAGAAGACGGAATCGGTTGTGCCAACCTTCACTGGAGTTATTCGTCCTATGCTGGCCTTCTATAGCAGATCTATAGTGGTTCCACAATGATACAGGATACCTAGGTGGTACCGCTCTTCTTCGACCAGCACCTGGTCGCCCAATGTCTATAAGGAACCTCTCCCCCGATAACGTATTTGAAAAACGTTCTGGAATATCTTTTAACTCCGCCAAAGATTTTGGATTTGGAGGCAAATCTCTACGCCGAAATTTTCGCATTGACTTAGCCAAATTATGTCTTTCCGGCAGTTGACTGAGAACATTAACAGGAACATTTGCAAGTTCGGCTCGAATTATTTGTGCGGGTGGCTGCTCTGGATGAGAAGCAGCTTTCCGTTTCAGACGATCACAGATAATCTCTGCCTCGCCTACGTTAAATAATAATTATAATAAATTAACGAATTTACTTTACCAATATATTTTATTTATTTTACCATCTTCACGGTTTGGCGGATGAGTGGAGTGTTTAGATTGCTCAGGTCCTCGAAGTACAATAACTTCATTATTTTGCATAATAGTTACAGCCCTCGCACTGCATTCTTTGCTCCTTAACCTATTACAGTCCCAGTATTTCTTTCCATTCCTTTCTCTTGATTTTAAGTACACATAACCATCACAGATCAACTTATTACCAATAATTATTGCTGACGACTCCATATTTTTATAAAATTGAAACACAGGAATTTAGAAAAAATCCAAAATTCAAAAGGTTACAAATAAAAATGACTAATTGAAAATGACGTTAATGTTACTGCTGCCATAGCAACAAATAAAGATTAACAACTGAAGTGATTCAGTAAGAACATTTTGAAAATTATGTTTGTCGGGAAAATGGTTGTCGGGAAGAAGGATTGTCGGGAAAATAGTTGTCGGGAAATAGGATTCGGGAAAATGGTTGTCGGGAAATAGGATTCGGGAAAAACATTTGTCGGGAAGAAGGTTTGTCGGGAAAAAGGCTTTCGGGAAATAGGATTCGGGAAAATGTACGGTAACGATTAGATTCGTAATCAGCGACCTCGAAAACCCCTGAGTAACTAGTTTCAAGTGATTTGAATCATTTTTTGAATAAGTCATCCGCCATATTAGATCCGCCATTTTGAATTTTTAATATTTTGCAAATCTGACCCCGGATTCGTATTCAGCGACCCCAGAAACCCTATTTTCAATAGCGATTATAATGTTTTGTGTATTATCCTAATTGTGTGACTGAAAGGGTTAACAATGAAGCACGCGTCAAACTATATCAACTGATAAGATCTTGTTTTGACAGCATATAGTAATAAATTATGGTTTAAATTATGTAATATATCTTTCTTTCTAATTTAATATTATATTTTATTTTTGAGAAAATTTGTCGCTTAGTAACCAAATTAAAGGAATCTGCTCCAATAATTATTCGATAATTCAGCTTTTTGATCTTTCTAATTTATCCACTACTAAATAAGATAATTTTTATCTTCTGTTCGTAGCATAAATATATAAAAATACAATAATTAATAAATTAAAGTTTAAATAATTTAATAATCAATAATTAATAATAGTGTGATATTATATTGTTTGATGAAAATCCATAAACAAAAACAAAATAACAGCACAATAATAATTAATAATCTTTTCATAAGATATAGTTTATTGTCAATATTAATTTTTGTAGATTCGGTTTTCTACTACTATATGACTTGACTCAGTATTAACCAAATAAAATAAATAAAAAAGTTCACTCACCTTGGAATGTATTCTCTTTTCACCCAAGAATAGGAATAATCATAATTCCTCAATTTCGCCCTTATGAAAATTTTACAAACAAAAATTTTAATAAAATTTAATAATTAAATTTTACAATTCCTGCCTACAAGGCCAAGTTTTCCCTAGTACCTAAATTAACTATAAACATTTTTCAATAATGTAAATTTTGCAAATTTTGATTTATTTTAGATATTATAAATTATATAATATCGAAAAATGATCAATATTACTTTAATTTACTTAGAGAAATCTATTTATTGCTCTAAAAATTTAACTAAATAATTAATTGAAATGAATTAATTATTTCCTATTATAAATAATAATTTTGGAGGACTAGGTTCAATATTTATTGAATCTTTCAAACTGCCACATCGATGTAGCCTACTGCTATAATATGAACACAGCTCATAAAAATATTCTTATCGAAATAAGAACAAAGATTTCTTAATAGCCCCTTAACACTTTCTCCATGGCTTGACTTTGTAGAATATTTTAATATAATTAATAATTTAATAATTATATTACATATTAGGAAAAACTGAGTGTATATTGTCTGTATTTTACAGGTGGAACAAAGATTTCTTAATAGCCCCTGTACCAATTGTGTTATGAGTATATATGTATAATTATATATATGTATAATTTATGTAATTCAGGTGGAACAAAGATTTCTCAATAGCCCCTGGATATTAAAATGAGTGTATTACATTTGTATGTTGCTTTTTAATTAAGAGAGTGACGTTTTCATTTTCAGGGTTTATATAATCGTGATCAACCCCCAGATTCACAATTTTAGTGTAAATTCAAATTATTGAAATAGTGTAAGTGAGCTTCTTTCCTTTGATTGAGTAGGTTTAGGAGCTTACCCCTACTCTTTGAGGGTGCTCATTTTTGCTATGCATATCTTACCGCCAATTCTATCCCACTTTTCACTTTTCGGAAAGCGTCTATTTCTTTTCGACAATAATATTCAAACTTCATACTTAAAGACAGATATATATTTTTTCTCTCTCTAGTCTCCAACGTGTCTAACGTTTCCCAAGAACAATGCCATTGTTTAGCTGTCAATCACTTTTCTCTATGAATTTATTTTATTTCTCTTTATTTAAATAATTCTTTAAATAATAAATTTTTATTTATTTATTGATATTAATTTTCTTATACTTTGCCAGTTGCTTTCAGTCTCTCTTTCTCTTCCTTTAAAAGTAAATCTTCAGATTCTGATAAATTACACAGCCCCACAAAAAAAAAATTTTTTTGGTCCAACGACCTAGAGTTGTCATTTCCTACGTATTTTGGGTCGCTGAATCCGAATCCGGTGTCAGAATTGCGAAGTTGCACAGTGGGCCTGGAGTCGTCCAAAAGTGGCCAAAAGTCAAGGTTGGAATTGATAGATAACAATTTTATAACCATTTTCAGAGGTAGTTTTTCTACCAATATCCAAAATATTTTGTCAAATATTCCATTCTTGTGTTAACAGTACTTCAGTACATATGCAAATGTTCAAAATTTTTGTTTTACCTTTATGAACCAAAATATGTGTTTTAATTAATTTTACTTTATTTTAAAGTTCTAAACATAAATTGTCTACTAATAAACATCAATAGAGCTGAAATTAACAGTTTAATCAAACGTTGCACATTCAGTTGTTTTGATTAAATATTATTTTCTTTTC